TCCTCAGGGTCCGGTCACCTCTTCTCGTTGTGCAGCGTTTTTTGCCACACTTTTTCCTTCCCACAGACTTCCCACTGAGGTGCCTTGATACAGCACTCTGGGAACAGCCTATTTGTTCAGAAATTTCTTTCTGCGTCTTACCCTCTTGCTTGAGGGTGTCAATGATGGCCTTCTGGACAGCAGTCAGGTCGGCAGTCTTACCCATGATTGCGGTTTTGAGTAATGAAACAGGCTGGGAGTTTTTAAAAGCCTCAGGAATCTTTTGCAGGTGTTTAGAGTTAATTAGTTGATTCAGATGATTAGGTTAATAGCTCGTTTAGAGACCCTTTTCATGATATGCTAATTTTTTGAGATAGGAATTTTGGGTTTTCATGAGCTGTATGCCAAAATCATCAGTATTAAAACAATAAAAGACCTGAAATATTTCAGTTGGTGTGCAATGAATCTAAAATATATGAAAGTTTAATTTTTATCATTACATTATGGAGAATAATGAATTTTATCACAATATGCTAATTTTTTTAGAAGGACCTGTACATGACGTACATTTAATATATATATTACTTAAGAAAAGTCATGATGCAACATATACAGTGGCCACTTCAGTCACTCTTAAACACTTTCTTTGATATATATTTGTTTAATACATTCAGACATTAAATGTGACTTCAGTGTCCAAATACTTTTCGGGGCTGCTGTATTTTCCACTCGAGTAATTCAGTGCAAAAGTAGGTCAATTATATTGGAAAAGCTCATTAGAATGATGGAGAGCTGAATGGTGTGTGGATTTAATTCACATTAAGAGCTGAATAGTGACGGCACCTCTGAAATAAATGCATTTTTCATACGGCTGTAATGAGGCTTTTGTTTAAAGCTCTTTCCACTGCCGTCTGTCCGTCGTGTGCAAGTTACATTTCTATTCCAGCTTTAAAGGCTTAAATATTGAAATTACATTATAAAACTGTGAGTGGGTGTGTTTTATAAAGAACAAGTTTTAATGTTGAATCTCCATCTCTATATCTTACAACTGTGAATAAATAAAATATTGTAGGTTTTATTAATAATGTATGCTTAAAGTAATTTAGCAAAAAATAGTTAGTTAACAATAGTAATGCATGGATGGATGGATAGATGGTTAAGGGATGGATGGATGGAAGGAGGGATTGATGGAGGGAGGGAGGGAGGGATGGATTGTGGATGTATGGATGGGTGGATGATGGAAAATGATGGATGGATGGAAAGAGGGAGGGATGGATGGATGGAGGGATGGATAGGGATGGATGGATGGATGGGAGGGTGGAAAGAGGGATGGATGGAATGAGGGATTGATGTATGGAGGGAGGGATGGATTGGTGGATGGATGGATGATGGAAAATGATGGATGGATGGATGGATGGAGGGAGGGATTGATTGATGCATGGATGGAAAGGGATGAATGGATGGAGGGATGGAAGGAAGGAAGGAGGGATGGAAGGAGGGAGGGAGGGATGGAAGGAGGGATGGAGGAAGGGAGGGATGGATGGATGGAGGGATGGATTGGTGGATGTATGGATGGAAAGGGATGTATGGATTGATGGATGGATGGAAAGGGATGTATGGAGGGAGGGATAGATTGGTGGATGGAAGGATGGATGGATTGGTGGGTGGATTGAAAGTATGTGAACCGTATGCAGTTTAAACTCAACAGCTACTGTCCTAGATGAGCAAAAGCGAGAGTGGTGTGGATTTATTTACTCATCATTTATTGATTGTCGGGCCGAATGAATAAAGTACAGTGCCGAGAGTAGCAAGATGTAAACACAGAAGCGCCTCAACATTAACATGAGACAAATGAGCAGAGTTTGCTTATCAATACTACACTGCTAAAGTCTGACCTTTTTAAAATAACAGAGTGCAACAGTGTCCGCCCACTTTTCACCAGCGCTGGTTCTGAAAGTGTTTTTTACATTTATTTCTCCCAGGGATTTAAAAAAAAAAAAAGTCTCTGTTAAAGCATCTTAAGCCATGAACCAAACCAACCAGCTACCCGCTGACACAACATTACACACTTTGATTTGAAGCAAAAAAGTGTTTGAAAATCGGACAACAAATGCAAGACTGTGTACTCAACAGATTTAACGAGGGAAAGAACTACAATCAAATGAAGCATTGAAAATGACAAATAAAAAACGAAAAAAAATATTCATGTAAATTTGTTGATTATAGAAACTATATTTTAAGTTTATTGCAAAATATGCAGACAGCTCTTTAGGATAGATTGCCACCACTCTGGTGGAATGTTCTGCACTGCATCATGGGTAATGTAGTTTTCACCAGGAATTCCTCTGTTAAACACACATATTTTAAAAATAAGTTGATATAATGCAAACAGACGGCTTTGTGAATATTACTTTTCAAAAAATGTATTTTAAATATTGAAGCACATGGCGTAGTTACAGCTATCTACCAGCAGGAGACATAATAACCAAACCTCTCTCTCTACAGGATGAAGCACCTGTGGTTATCGCGTGTGGCTTTTACATTTATATTTATGCATTTGGCAGACGCTTTTATCCAAAGCGACTTATATTGCATTCAAGGTACACTTTTACATTTAATCATATCTTGCTTTCACAGAGGCATCATACTGTACATACAGTAGAAATGAAATGAAGCTTTTTATCACTCCAGCAACCTGTGCTGTTGGGCTTTGATTGTCTCAACCAATAAATCACTCTAACTTCTCTCTTCCTAAATATTTATGGCACATTAATTAAGCCCCAGTTCCCTCTGCAGGCCTCGCGTGCTTGTGTGTGAAAACACACTCGAGGCCACAAACACGCTTCCCATGTGCAACAGTTGTCATGAGACAGTTCTCCATAACGGTGCCATTCGAAACAGACATGAAGATGCTCTGGGAAACACTGTCTGACAGAACAACATTCTGCTCCAATCTTCCAGTTTACATGTTGATGTGCTTTAATGGTTCAACACATGGTTTTACTCCTCAGCGTCAGGCTGTGTAATATCATATGGAAGCTTGTTTCCGCCAAAGCATAAAAAAGTTCATTTCTTTTTTATTTTACCTTACAATTCTGACTTTTTTCTCACATTTGCGAGTTTACATCTCATTGCACGAAATAAAGTCGCAATTGCGAGATATAAAGTCAGAATTGCGAGATTTAAACTCTCAATTGTGAGATAAAAAGTCGTAATTATCTTTGAAATAAAATGTTTTATTCCGTGGCTTCCACAGCCACAGCCAGAAACCAGCTTCCATATATAAATATCTTCCTCACATGCAATACATAAAAAAAAAAAACACAAACCCAACAATGTTATTTGTGTTGTTTGCTAAGGCAAGTATCACTATCATTATTACTCAGTTAGATCAAAGTAAAGATGCATCCGATACTAAATTCCTCTGCAGATACTGATAACCGATTATTCAGAATGATATCTACCGATAGTTTGATTTTCTTAAAGAATAAAAACTCTCCAAAATAATGCTGTAAACTATACAGAGAAGTCTCTCATTTGGTGCATTACTATAATATTAGAGGTTAAAATTAAAACAGAGCTTTTATATTCGACTGGTATTTAGTTTCAGATATAAAAATGACTCCATCCCGTTTTGATTGACAGGATCTAATCAGCCCTGATCATTTTTTGTTTTTGAACAATCGGCCGATGGTGAAAATAATTGCTTTTATTGGCCGATACCGATTATTGGCCGATATATCGGTGCATCTCTTGATCAAACCTCAGCAAAACAGGTGAAAAAATCATATTCCTTGCATTAAAGGAACGCCCACATAGGAACACCCTAGCAACTGCATAGCAACCGCCCTAGCAACCGCAGTCACCCAACATAGTTGAAAAATCTACGTAAAAACCTAGTTGAAAACCTTACTCAGCATAACCAATGAAGTTAAGTCAAGTCAACTTTACTTAAACATAGCATTTTTACAATACAGATTGTTTCAAAGCAGCTTAAAGCAACACCAAGTAACTTTTCCTCTGCGGTCGCCCTACAGGTTGGAAGCGTAATTGTCCATTACCGCTGTCGTAAATAATTTAGCCTAGCGCAGCCTTCTGTCACACGCACGCTCGCTGTTTATCCAGCGCCGGCTTTGGAATGAACGATGTCCACCAGCCCGATCTCACGACAATTCGTACGAATTTTACGAGGTGGCTAATTCGTACTAATGCATACAACCTCACTCGTACAAATTTGTACGATTTTTGCTAATTCGTACATATTTTACGAGTTACCAAATTCGTATGAATTCGTACGAATGACCTACCCCTGACCCCGCCCCTAAACCTACCCATCACGTTGGTTTAGACAAATCGTACAAATTCGTACGAATGAGGTCGTATGAATTAGTACGAATTAGCCACCTTTTAATCACTCGTACGAATTCGTACGAATTGGTCGTGAGATAGTGTTGTGTCCACAGACAAGCTAGAGTATGTTGCATGATTTCATGAAAGTATGATGTATTGCGACATCAGAAACGAAGAAAAACTAAATAATGACTATTGTAACGCTTGACGTAAAGCAAGTCAAATTTGTAGTTTTCTTACGTCTCATTAGAACTACAGAAACGCGACCCGATCTGGCAATCTTAGCGTGGTTATAGCAGATATAGGACCGCAAAGCGAATCCAGAAGTGCCTTTCACCCTGTTACGACTTAATGAACCACTGAAACCATTTTGGAAACATTATTTTAAGGTAAAAAATCTTACTTAGTGTTGCTTTATTAGTGATAACAGGAAAATAATACAACAAAGTTTGTTTCTGCTGTACAGCAGATCTAGAAGAAACTAGCGCCATAGTCCAGCTTAAGTAAGTTCAGTGATGGTTCATTTTTGTCGTAAAAAAATATATATTGCTTTAGTTATTTATACATATATATGCATATATAGCCGCTCTGGAGAAAACAGTGATGTCATCATCGTCCAGCTCAGTTCAGGTCTCGTGTAAAGCGTGACATTGTTGAACTCTGTCTTTCAGCTCCCGATGATGAGCGGCGCGTTCATGGATGCGTCTCCGGTGGACGACTGCAGCACAGAGCACTCGCTCTTCAACTCGACCGCGAGTGTGAACGCAGCGCCGGCTCCCTCAGCGCCGACACCACAGGAGGAGCAGCGCGTGTCCAGCGACGCCGTCTGGCTCTGGATCGCCATCATCGCCACCATCGGCAACATCGTAGTGGTTGGAGTCGTTTATGCTTTTACCTTCTAAGGACTTTTGGTTTTCTTTCTCTCCACCGTCCAGAGACCTGCAGTCCCACATGCACGTGAGGGACGAAGAGTAGCGGCCTTCGCTATGTTTAACCTGTTCACTTAAAACCGGCCTCACAACTGGAGGGGAAAAAGCCTCGTCCCCCGCAGCACACACACACACACACACACACACACACACACACACACACACACACACACACACACACACACACCAGGGTCTGAAATTAACGGGGGCGTGGGGCAAAATTAAGGATACACAATATATCGGCCACCATATCGGTATCGGCTGATATCGGTTCATTTTTAATGTTATCGTTATCGGCCCGATAAGAAAATTTGGCCGATATATTAAAGCCGATAAATAATGTATTATTTCCTTCAGCTGAGACACTTCGGATGCGCACTGTTCATCATGATGATTATGAATTGCTTGAAATATGATTGGAATCACTTCAAAAAAGGAAAATAAAGTAAAGTGCAACATTTGCAGAGCAAGTCTGTCATACAGGCTGCATAAAATTATAATGAGAACATCCTAATTGTGTGTTTGGGACGTGGCTTTTAATGGTGAAACTTTTGTTTTTGTAATCAGGCTCTCAAAAAAAAAAAAAAAAAAGTGGATTTAGATTTATTAGATTTTTCATATCAGTGCATACCTAATAAAAATGCATCCATAAACCAAGATATGGTGCAAAAAATGTCTCTGCATAAGTTCTTGTTTTATAAGCAGTATCAAACAAGCAAAAGTGCCGTTTTCCCGAATATCAGCACGTTTGCAAATGTGATATTGATTTTATACAACAATAAACAAAAAGATAATAGGCTATTAGGCGACTTGCATTTAGTAACAAAATTGTTATGACACAATTTTGGGGTTTTTTCCTCTATTTTGCCAACGAAAATAGTTTAGTAGAGCCACTGAGTAGAGTCTCTGAGAAACACAGTTTCGGTTTTGTTACTGAATGAATCTGTGCTTTTGAACTAATCGTTCTAATGAATGACTCGACGACACACTCACTTCTGCTTTGTCCCTGAATTAATCAACGAATCGTTTCTCTGAATGATTCAATGGCTAACTCGTTAAGATGACGATTTGCTGCCCCCTACTGGCAGTTTTAGTATCATTTCATTTTATCTAAGCGACGAAGACTGAATGCTGTTTTTGTTTTCGTTTGTGATTGTAACAATAGTTCTGGTTAAAGAGATAGAATGAGTTTATGAATATAGACTATGAAGAGCGAAATATGAGTTGTAAATATAAAAGAGTTGGGCTGTCAAAATGGCTGAAAAACTAAATTTGAATGTTATACTTAAATATTAGTAATATTTGAATTGTATTATAATTTAAAAGGCATCATTTCAGTTAGGGGGAAAAATCTTTTGGCTTGTCTTCTGAGACCACAAGAGGGCGCAATGACCATTAAATTGTTTATTCAAATGTTTATTCTCCGACTGTTTCTTTGAAACGGGCCTAAAAAATTGAATTGAATTCTGCTGGTCAATGAATCGAGTGCAGTGAGTGTCATTTTTAAACATTAAACAGCAGTGGCATTTCTGTGCAGCACCAACCAGGGTAATTTTACAGTCTAAAACTAAAAACATAACACTTTTGTTTATTTAAAATCAGTGTTAAGTGAAAAAACTTTCATACAATAATTAAATTTTTCGCCAGTTTCCAAAGAAACATTTCTTATTTTCATTTACTTTAACATGAACAATTTTTTTTAACACAACCAAATGTGAAATTTTGAAATAGAAAAACTGAAAAAGTATTTTCTAGTATAACGTCGACCAAAAATGTGTAACTTTTATTTAATAATTTTGTCTAACAAAGTTTTGATGGACTTTGTTTATTTGTAAAGCCTGTCTGTATTCATGGTGTAAAATGAATCAGGCTGGAAATGACAGAAAATCAGTAGAAAGTGGAAGCTTGTTGAAGTTTGTTGTGTAGGCCTATAGTATTTAAGAGAACCGTCTTTATTTTTCAAAATGAGAGTTGAATGATGCCGTTTCTGTTGTAACCTGAAAAATGCCATTTACTATTAAAATTTTAATAGCTAATATCCTTCAATTTCTCTGTCATCTATTTCCAGAAACGATGCACAGATGATTATGCATCAGCGGCGTCTCGTCTGATGGAGTCGGTGATGATTTCAGATTCAGCTGGATGAAATATTAACCTGATATCCTCATTATGAGCTCATATGAATATGATGTTTTTCTTTTTAACAAGCTCTTTTTATACACTACAGTGGCATCTGGATCAATCTAGAGTTATTCATAAGCTCTCATATTCCTCAGCTGTCACTCAAATGACATGATATCACTGTCCACGTGCATTATAGATCATTTAGATTAACATCATTTCCAAACCTCCCAGGATGCATCTGTGCTGACAGCTTGTATGTTAAATGAGTCCATACCAAACTTTACCAATACAGACCGTCAACTGCAATCCTGAGCAAATCTGGTCAGCAAGTTTCTGTGCATAAAACAACATCTAAAAACATCTGTTATACTTCCTCTTTTAGCTTGAGTAATCTCTCATAGCATCAGATTGATGATAATGATGACAGTGGTTGATTTGCCATATTGCAACATTGTTCCGTCAGTTGTAGTTGTGAAACCTTTGCTAGAAATAGTACTGAAAAAAAGAAACCCTGAATGTGTCCATCATCGTATCTCTTGGTGCATTCAGACCGCATGATTCATTAAAGCCGTCAGTTTCATGTGCTGATGCTACAAACTCATCTCAGTCCGTCTGGTTTAATTATATCCAGAAAAATAAAGGAAACCCTCACGAAACAAGACATGAAAATTACAGCCAAAACACACATAATCAGCTCATTAGAGGAATGAACATGTCAAACAAAACAACAAGAGAGAGAGAATAAACTAAAAAAAAAGTAGAAATGTCTATTTAATGTGATGTCGTCTTATAATCACCACTTTGGTCGAGCTTTTGAGGGAAACAAAAGAGAGGTTAGGGTTTCTTACAAAGAGGCAGAGGTAGGTAAGTAAATCAATACAAATTATTAATCATTAAAAATGAGTAATAAGTAACACTATTTACTGCTCAGACAGAAGATCTATGGACTGTTACTTGCGACACTTGATGTCCTCCAGCAGGTGGCGCTGATGCGTAAAGAATTAACTTTCATCAACCTAACCTAAAGTCTGAATGACTGATACTGATAATAATGATTTAAATGATTGACAGTGATAACACTGATACTGGTTAATGATGGTAATAACTATTGCAAACAGATTTCATTTTAATTTTGCACAAAAAAAATGTAATTAGTAATTTTACTAATAACAGTAATGATGATTTGAACAAGTAAAAGCACTTCAAAGAACTGTTTATCCAATAATAAAAAAATGGCATTAAATATTATTTGTATTGAAATATAATGTCATTATATATTTATGTCATGTTTTAAACAGAAAACTCAACAGAATATATAAAACAACATAAAAACTCGTTTCGAACACGTTTGCAGTTGCTTTTTTCTTATCAAAAGAGAATGTTGAAAAATGTTCGGCTCTTTCTCATATGAAAGTTCACGCTGATCATGACAGTAAATAGGACTGTAAAAACACCATAAAAGCATCATAACAGCGGACCATAAAAGTCATTCACTATATTTCAAGTCTTCTGAAGTCGTATGATTAAAGAGGATCTATTATTCCCTTATCCAAAGTCTTGATGATGTTTCAGGCTCTACTAGAACAGGTTTTCCTGCTTGAATGTTGATTATTCTCCTCATATTCTCCATTGTTGCGGCTCCTCTCTTCCCAGTCTGTCAGTAACGCTCTGTTTACTTCCTGTCTCTATGAAGCCCCTCCTTCTGAAAAGCACACTGCGCTCTGATTGGCCGGCTGGGTCAGTGTGTTGTGATTGGTCGAGCGCTTCGAGTGTGTTTGGGAAATGTCCCACCCCTTTCCATAACCGCCAGTTTAACACACTACTAACTAACTCAACCAGGCCCCGCCCCTTTATTCTGCGTATGAATTATTATAATGAGCAATATTGTGACGTGTTCGTTCCCGGAAGAAACTCAAGACTACAATGGAGGCGTTTCAGGAGTTCAGAAACACTGACACTGATATAGAGAAGAACTGGAGCGTTTTCATGCTCAAACAGCAACATTACTCACTAAAGAGAGAGGAACATGGGGAATAGCACGATAGGCTCTCTTTAAATATGCAAAACAACCCCACACGGGTTTAGAAAGACCTGAGGGTGAATAGCTAAATAATGACAGAATCTTCATTTTTGGCCGAGTTTCCATCATGACATTAGAGAGTTTGTTTATATCCACTTACATAACGGTGAGCGGAGCGTGATGAGTGTGTCTGTGTAAACTGAAGTGACATTACAACCATTACAAACTCTTCCGGACCCGACCATATGCAGATTACCAAATCAGCAGAGGAAAACTGATTACAACATCTGATCCGCTCACACACACACAGAAGAGACTCCGTTACTATATGAAGAACTGCCATGGTACATGTCCACAACAACTACACAGGTTTACCAGGGTATCATGACCAAAAACACAGTCGTAGTTAGTTAGGTAACCCTACCGAACCCGGATACAACTCAGAATAAATCTTTTTTACATTGCAAAAGTGACCCGAGTGCATATAATGCTACTAGTCAAAAAAACTAACATGGTATTACATCCTACACTTCCACAAAAATTATATATATCATGCATTTTTAACGTGGGGTTTTGAATAACACCATAAGTTTTACTTATGCATTACCAAAAAAATAAAAAAACAGTAATATAATGGTAGCATGTAAAAATAATGTAATAAATATAATAATACAATTTAAAAAAAAAACCATAATACCATGGATACACCATAGTAATATGGTAGCATGTAACAAAAACAAGGTAATAGGTTGCATAAGTTTGACTGGCAGAAAGCAGTGTGTTCATGAGTGCGCTGTGGAAACTTCTTCTGGAGGTTTGCTTGATTGTG